AGAAATAAACGGAGTCTATCACTATCAAAAAAAATCCCTCCGCATAGTATGAAAATTAAAATTATCCGGATAATTTTAATTTGGATATTATAAATTATTTTTTCTATCCGGATAGACTTCGAACAGTTTATGTTTAGAATAGGGATGTTTGATATCAAATATGTACCGATCACTATGGGTTTTTTTTTTCGGGTGATTTCTAAAGGCCGGAAATCAATATCCGACGCCATTTTTATATTCAGGATGGCTGCTTCCGATTTCAGAAAATGTAGGAAATACTGTAAAATACCTATCAATACGAGTATTTTTTTTTTGAATCGGGGTAACGGCTGGAACCTGTAAATCGATATCCGACGCGATTTTGAAATCCACTTTCAGGCTTCTGATTTCATAAAAAGACGGTGTCAAATACCTTACAATATCGATATTTTCGGAACGGGACGACGCGTAGATGCTGTAAATCGATATTCGACGACATTTTGGAATCGACATCGGGATTCATAAAAAGTATCAAATACCCTACAATAAATAAACCAATGACCGACGCCATTTTGAAATCTAAGATGGCTGCTGCCGATTTCAGAAAAAGTGGGAAATACTGTCAAATCCCCATCAACTTGGGTATTTTTGGAATCGGGATGACGTCTAGAGAATGAGAATAGATTCCGGCCTTCAATTCAAGATGGCGACTTCCGAGTTAAGAAAAAGTGGGAAATACTGCCAATATGGGTATTTTTGAAATCGGAATGACATTTAGAGAATGAAAATCGATATCCGAAGCCATTTTTATATCCAAAATGGCTGCTTCCGTATTAACTGGGAAAAGTGTAAAATACCCTACAATGTGGGTATTTCCAGACCGCGTAAACGCAAGAAATGAATGTCCGACACCCAAGATAACAACTTCTGGTTTCAGAAAAAGTGGGAAATACTGTCAACTATCCATCAATATAGGTATTTTTGAAATCCCGGTAACGTGTACATTAGACTGATGCAAAATTTGACTTTTTCGCTCCACAGTGCTTAAATGGTTTCAAATCGGGTCCTGATTAGCCTCCAAAAGTTACAACTCATTTGGTTAGAAACAGACTTCGCACAAACCATTTGAAGTTTACATGTAAATTACTATGAGAAATCTCAATTTTTTGTTCATTGCCATCTAGTCTTTTGCCATATTGAGCTGCGAAACAGTTTGATAGCCATTCTTATAGAAAATTTTCTCAGTTACAACTTTGCTCAAGATCATTTCTATGTAAAACGAGACAGGAAAAAGTTATTAATTATTTAAGAGATTGGTAAACTTATGACATGATCAAGCAGCTGCTCTGTAGGCAACACTGTATTTTGCAGTGTGACATAGTAGCCAGGATTTTTGTGTCCTATTCAACGCCCCAGGAACACCAATGTTGCCTGCTGAGCAGTTGATTGAGCATGATCATAAAACATCAGCGCATTGAACCATTGATAACTTTCGATCCTTGCATTTAATCAAAAAGTGGTCTTGAGCAAAGCTGTAGCTGGGAAAACTTCCTACAAGTACAGTTGAAAGCTTTTGAAGCAGACCGATATGGTGAATTATTAGATAGACATGAACAAAAATCTTGGTTTACCATGGTAATTCCCATACAAACTTCAAATGGTTTGTGCCATCTCAGTTTCTCACCAAATGGGTTCAAATTTTGTGAGGTTAGTCAGGATCAGATTTGGAATCGTTTAAGTATTGTGGAGCGAAAATTTCAAATTTTGCATCACTCTAGTGTACATGCCAGAAACCGATGTCCGACGCCATTTTAAAATCGAAGGTGATGCCTTTTGTTCAGAAAAAGTGTGAAATACTGTCAAATACCCATCAACGAGGGAATTTTTGGAATCGGGGTAACATCTAAAGGCTGGAAATCGATGTCTGACGCCATTTTGAAATTCAGAATGGCGGCTTTCGGTTTTAGTGTCAAATACCGTACAAATGGCGTTGTATATTGATTTTCACCATCTACGCGTAATACCCGTTCCGAAAATACCCGTTTGGATCAGTTGCCCATCACTGCCCAGAGAGGAGCATATGGAGCACTTACAGATTGGGATATATGTATGGAAATGAACTTCACTTGCTACAGTCCCTGATGCTCAGTTCCAGTTGTTTTTTGTTCATTAATTTATTTGAATTGACTTGACAGAACCGAGGATTCTTGTTCACTATACAAAACATCTTAGAACTATAGTCAAAAGGTGCTACACAATACACACTTCTTCTTACGCTATCCAAAAAGCCTCCTCCGTCAGAACGGGAGCCGCTTTCGGTGGTTTCATTGTATGGCAGTATCACCAGTATGGCACAGTGCTTCCATTGCAGAAATGGACGCAAAACGTGTTCAGCACTCACACACTCATCACCTAAAGGTTGCTTTCCAAAGTCAAAGACGCATCGACCGAGGTTCCAGTTTTTATTTTGGATCTTTTCATGAACCAATGGTCGGTGTAGTATGGGATTTACTCGATCGGGACTGCTGAGAAAATGTTGGAAAATTTGCGTCGTTCACTCGGCATGAACGGTTGAGTTCTTGAGATCATCGAATATTTAAGTTTTTATGATTTGATTTTGTATGATTCAATAAAGAATATACACATCAAAAATTAATCGTGGAAAAAAACCTTTAAACAAATAATGCAGCAAGTCTATTTGAAATTATGTTGCTTATTTTCCATTAAATTTATAAAACTTTGCCTGCTTTGAATCAGCGTATCTCGGCTTCATATGCAACTGAGCGAACATTTACCTTCTTTTTGTCAATTTATTTTTACTGTGTACATTTTTAGAGTAAGATATTTAACAAAAAGATGTTTAGCATTAAAACCAGCAGTATGGATTTCAGATATTTTTCAATCAATTTCAATGATCGCTTCAAGCACGATGCTTTTTTTCTAAAATGTAAATGGTTACCCATAACACACAAATATGCAACGTTTTATGCAAATCGAAGAAGGTCGAGTTTTTTTTTCCGATTGGGTATTTGGAGTGCTATAAAAGTGATATTACTGTATTTCTATAACACAATCGATCCGCCATTAACGAATGCACATACTCAGTGCTGCTAATTCTCAAATTCAATTAAAATTATTGGTGAAAATGATAATAGCACGGATTCGATATCAAGACACCTTATTCTAATTGACAATTTTGATCCGCATCATCAACTGATGAAAGCATGAAACATCTTTAATTGAGAAACGCTTGAAGTCAAACAATGAATTTTAACCATCGTAAAATAGGAGAGCTTTGACGGACAACCGGAGTATATCGACCAGATTTGTTAATCGTTGTTCAATTTGAAAGCTATGAAATTGGGTTGTTAGTGGAATACTCATAAGAGCAAAATAATTAGTTTCCATTGAATTCCACTTAGCATTTTGTTTCCATGACAAACACGAATTTCGACTACAATGTGCAGTATTCATCAATGCCATTCATTCCAGTCTTCATCAGTCATCCCCCAAGTGGAAATGGCACTGATGAAGACTGCACATTGTAGTCGAAATATGTATCTGTCATAGATACAAAATGCTAAGAGGAATTAAATGGAAAATCATAACATTTGCTCTAATCAAATGTATGACGTATGACCACATTTTTCATAATTGTTGTACTATCTTAGGTAATTTGAAACGGGCTGCTGATGTTTTCAGCTTGTTGAGAATGATATTAGATCCACTTTCTAATAGTTCAATTTGTCATGTTACATGTCAATTAAATTTTTGGTTTTGAAATTATTGTCGAGTCGGAAAACAAGCCGTTGTAGCAAGTTTAAACTGATTGGTTTCTTGTTACATGTTTTCCCTGAAAGCCTATGAAAATATCTAGTAGAATTCTAAATTGTCGAATTATTAATTGCTCTGAAAAAGAGCTTACCTCTAGAAAAATTTGCAAATAAATAATAATCTGGTTTATACGGTGCATATAAACATAAGAAAGGAGATAAATAGAATCCCAGAGCTATCATTTTTAGCAGCGCCGCTGGTGTAAAGGTAAGCGTGATTGCCTCTCACTCTAAAGCGCCTGGGTTCAATCCCAGTCGGCGCCGTCGGGATTTTCTGTGGCATAAAATAAGGCATAGGTAAGTACAGCCGTTTGGTCCCCGGTCCATGAATTGATGATTCGATATGTAGGGTCCAGGTGTTGATGTCACCTCTCTGCCATCGGTAGCATTGGTACTCAGTACGGAAAACAAGATCGACGGAAAACAAATCAAGGGAAAAAAGGATTTACATTTATATATAATAATACATCATTTATTACAGAAGTTTTCAATATTTAGTATATGGCTTTTATCAGTCAAAGAACTGAATGTTTTAAAGCAGGAGTCAAACTTCAAGAGAGGAAAACTACTTTCGAGCATCTGCAGTTCAATTGATCTTCAGCTTTTATCTGTCAAAAAATTGTTCATGTTATAAAAAATTAGTCTACACTAAGCAAGACCAAAGACTTTCGATCAGTTAAATTGTTCATAAGCTTATATTCAATAAACTGCTCACATTTAGAGGAGTAGTCAACTTCAAAAGAGAGAAATAACTTTAGAGCATTTTCAGTAGGATTTTCATTTCTTTATTTTCGTGATTTTTAGCCGTAGGCTAGTTCATTTCCGTCGAATTATATTAATGCAAAAAATAGTTTAGGCATCGAAAGCTCTCAATTAATAACTGTGGAAATGCATCTAGAACACTAAGTCGAGAGCACGCAATAAACTTGAAATGCAAAGAAGAAGAATCATATACCAAAAAAACACATTAAGCCGAATGTACACATATTGTAATTACCATAACATACTTAAAATTATGTTTGAAAGACCCCACATGCCTACAGGCATCGAAAATCATATTAACAATGACATATTGACAAACTCGACATTTGGAAGCAAGCTAGGTTACTCAACCGTAGGATCACCGTTCACCCTGTTGCGTCAAGCTTGTACTCTGATTCTAATATTGTTTTTATTATCCCGTTACAGGTCTCGTCTAAAATACAGAGGCGGCAACTATCCCAGCAGGCACAATCGCACATCCTAAGTGACATCCAGCAACATCAGCACCGTTTCAACCTACATCAGAATCAACGACCATCGAACGTCATCATCCAACCATCGATTCAACTGCCAATTCCACAGCAGTCGATCAACACGATCAACCAGCGGCCATTTTCTAACAACAACAACCCTTTCCAACCAAACTCACCACCATTCAACAACAAACAACTGCCTCCGCAGGCGCCTCCTAGCAATTTCAGACCTCCACAATCAGGCAGACAGCCACACAGCAACTTCGGGGCACAAGTAAATCGATTTTATCTCCAACATCATACACAAACCTCATTCATACCGAATTTTTTACGAATCTTACAGCAAGACACACGACTTCCACCACCACTATCACCACAGCCATCAACACAACAGCAAAGACCCGCCCCGAACACGCTACAACAGCCTCAATCGCAGTTCTTCAACGGGCCCAAGCTTAACAACCAACCCTTCGTGAACGGTGCTTTTCCGGCGGAGAACACATTCGGAGGCCCACGCGTTCCCGACACACGGCCCCTAACTCCTTCTGTACAAAATCCATTCCTACAACCACCTGCCTTCCAGGCACCCCACTCTCCCTCTGCACAAATACGTTTCCCTTCCAATGTTCAAGCTCCTCAGGCCCAAGCACTTTTCCAAGCACCTCCCCAACAACCACAGTTCCCTCCTGCTCCACAATCATCCTTCGGACAACCGATTGCTCAACAGTCATTCGATACAAACCACCTACGCTCCGAAGTTGTTCCACTAGCCCAACAACCACTACAGACATCCAACTTCAATCCATTCGCTTCTCAACAACACCAACAACATCAACAACAGCAACAACAACAACAACAACAACAACAACAACATCAACAACAATTCAACAGTTTCCCACCAGTTCAAAACGTTCCGATATTCGCCCCCACACAAAATCTTAACTCTCAACCTGGAGTGTTTCCCCAATTTCAACCGGCTCCTGCTCAGTCGAACCAACATCAGCAACAATTCCCGGCTCCTGCTCAGCCGAACCAACATCAGCAACAATTCCCAGCTCATGGTCAAACGTCTCTGAACTACCAACAGCAACAAGAACTAGAAAAACACCTCAATGATGAGAGCATTCGAATCCGAGAACTCCAAGAGAAGCAGAAAGTCATTCAGAAACACGAACAGTTCCTACAAAAGCAATACCAAAAACAACAAGCCAAGGTCCAACAACTACACCAAGATTTCCTCAAGAAGCAGCAAAAAATTCTACAACAACAGCAGCAAGACTATGACACTATCCGGAAGACTCCCACTCCATCATACTCCCAAGCCCTACCATCCGAGCGAACTGTCTACGAAAAAGCAACAAAAACCTATCAGAAGCCAACGCCGACTTCCTCAATTACCAACCCATCCCCATCCACCACCGAAAATATTCTATCAGTGATTCCGATCAAATCCAGTAGCAAGAAAGACTACACTACCATCAGTAAAACCGGCTTAGATGTCCTTCTACAATCGAACCGTCAAAATCTTTTCGAATCCATCAAAGCTGAAACCGCCAAACCCACCAAGGCCCGTCCAACCAAGGTTAAATCTACCAAAGCCCTCGGACGCGATGATCTTCTGAAGCAACTGAAACTGGCTCTGGCCGAACAAGGACCTCAAGACCTTGGCAATAAGAACTACAGCTCAACGGATCTGGTACTGCCAAATGGCGAAAAAGTGCAAGTGATCCGTACCACAGATCCCGATATCATCAAACGTGCCAATGCCAATTCGGAAGCCGTTCTAACTCAGCAGCATGATTCACCAACCACCGCTAGGCCTTTGTCTTTCGATGAGATTGTCAAAAGCGGTATTCTTCCTCCTGGTGCTGATTTTGAATTGATAAAACAGTCCGAACATGGGCAAATTGAAGAAGTCGGTAAGATTCCACCCCAGAAGAAGGTCACATTTGTTTATCTGGAAGAACAGGACGACGGCTCATATAAGGTTCAAGGAGTTAAAGGTAGCAGTGATAAGGAAACGAAGACTTCCGGGGCTGATGTAGATAACATTTTGAAGAGAATAAAGAACGGTGAGATTCAACTGCCACCTTCGTCGAATAAGGCTATCAAAAACCTAGCAGTATTGGAAGGCCCATCGAGCACAACCACACCGAGAATTGTACCAGTTCAGAAAGCGAACTCCGTTACAATAATTCCTCATAGCACACCTCTCGAGAACCACCACAACCATCACCACCACTCAACGAACTTTGTGGCAGATCACACCATTCCACGCACTGCCTCTTCTCCTGCATCGACGACATATGTCTCGACTGCATCCCCTTCTAGCCCAAGCTCCATTTCAGCTTACTCCCCAAGCTCCGTTTCAGCTTACTCGCCAAGCACCTACTCTGGAAGTACAATCCCTCAATCGTCAACCATCTACCATTCTACCCAATCCCCAATCACCAACTATTATCAAAACGATAATTCTATCCTTCACAATGGAGCCAGTTCCACGTATGCTACGACGGCATCGCCACCAACTCCCATCACCCCCGTTCCCAGTACAACCACCGTCCCTCAGTACTCCACCCATTCGGAGAACTACATCTCATCCTCCACGATAGCACAGCATACCGCCAGCTCTAACATATACCAGCAGCAAGCCACTGGTAAGTTCGACGTAGTGATACCAACCGTTTCCGCTCCGATCACCACCGTGACAGCACAGAATACCTACCACCAGCAGCAGTCGGAACAATCATTGCCTTTAATACAGCAATCGCAGCAGCAGCAGGTACAACCAACGCCGCAACCTCAAGATCCGTCAACGCCATCGGCGGTCAACCCGAACGAACTGCCAGCAATTCTCAAGAAAAGCGGACTATTTGCCATGGCCAAATACCTCCGACAGTCTGGTTTGGATACGATACTGAACGAAACCGGTCCGTACACGATCTTTGTGCCGACGGACAAAGCCTTCCGCAGTCTCCTAGTGCAGCTGGGAGGACCGGAGAAGGCCGAAGAGAAGTTTAAGAACAATCCACGGCTGCTGAGTGGGGTAATTTAGGCGAAGATTGACAGATGGTTAGTGGTACTTTACTTATATTTCTATTTCAATTCCAGCTTCTGCTGCATCACGTTATCCCAGGATCGTTTGACATTGGATCGCTGCAAGACGAAATGACCGGTGTTTCGCTGGCCGGAACGCAACTACGAGTGAATCAGTACAACATGCACGACTCCGAGTGGAATGATGTTAAGGTATTTTTTTTTAATCTAAATTCACGATTAAGGGAAAAAACAACATTTTGATTTTTCTAAAAAATATTGGAAAAAGATATCAAAAATCTAAAAAAATCATTTTTTTCAAATTTTTCAAAGAAATTTCACGTGCAAAAACATTTTTTGTAAGTAATCATGGCATAGAATTGGACTCAAAAAACAACAAAACATCGACTGTTCAGTTTTTCTGAGTGTCCATTTTTTTCATGATTTGATAAAAAAAAAATTACATGATAAATTTTTACTTTTTAAATGATTTACTGATAAATACGAAAAAAATAAAAATTATTCTAGACCTGCCAAGCTAGTCTCATATGAAAGGTGCGACCCTAAACTTTCGTTTGTTAGATGTTTCTGCGATACAGATTTTTTTAAATAAGTTCTTCTTACAGAGACACCGTGACTTGACTATCAAGAGAGGTAACGCCCCAAGTAACAGTTTTGGTTTTATGAAGGTTCTATAGACCATGATTTAGACTTGTAGCATGCATTAAAACCACTATAAAACTTGAAATGTTTCTTGGGGTGGTCGTGGAATGCTCATGAATCTCTCTTTAGCTCAACTAACTGGCGTTGCTGGTTCACCTTCACAGCAGCTCCGACAAAACTTGAGTGACTGCCCTGCTGACGGTATTCTAGATGCCCTCATCTCGACACATTTCGTTGACGACATTCTTCACATTAAGAGCAGGCATCTCTCTTCACACTGTTTCAAATCTAGGACAGTCAAATATCACGTGCTTCGCTGATTCCTTCACATTTACACACTCCGTACAAAGGTGGTGACGCTACGTGTCCGAACCGATTTAGATACTGCCTGAAACAGGTGTAAGTTTACCTCCCTATGCTTTTTTGTCGAGGGATTCGGTATTAAGCAATGCGTCCATCTACCGTTCTCCGCAGAGTCCCATTCCTGCTGCCACTTCGCCGTTGACTTCGGTCTCACAATTTATCTGGTTTCCTTGCGCTTGTAGCACTCGCCCTTTGCCAGGGTTATTCCGATAGCGCATACTGCTTCCGACGAGATGGTTCTGTATGCGCTCATGTCTCACATGGTCATGAGCCTGAACGTACAAATCAACTTCACTTGATTCCGCATCGTTGTCAGCACTGCATCCCAGGATTCACTTGCCAGAAGACCCCTCTTACTACTGCTTGGTCCAGAGTTGTTCGGCATGATAATAGCTACCGCGTTGATGGTCTTCACTGCCACCGTTGAAGTTTAGCCGGTCCACGATCGTCACTCCCAGGTATTTCAGCACGCGCTTCGAGGCAATGGCCTAGTCCCCGGCGATGTTTTCTGCCCGCTGTACCACTTTACAGCTACTGATCAGTAGCACTTCCGTTTTGTGATGGGCTATCTGCAGCTTCGCTCCCTGAATCCAGTTTCCATTCATGTCGATAGTCATGACCATTACCTTTAAGACCTCAATGTCCACAAAGCCAACGATCTCGACTCCTTTGGGCAGCTTGAGTGTCAGCACGCAATTCCAGAGCGTTGGACCAAGGATGGAGCCTTATGGAACTCCCACCGTGATCCTTTTCGATCTCTGCCTCATGTCTATTTCGTAGACCAAAACCTGGCTCTGGAAATAAATCAGAATTCTACACAGGTAGTCAGGTCAGGAACCCTCATTATATGTAGCGCTACACCAATGGTTTTTCCAGCTGACGCTATTGAAAGCGTTATCACAACGCAATGTCGTTACCCTCTCCGCTTCTGTTTGGACGACTTTTTGGCTCACTGCCCAAATTGCATCCACCGTTGATCTCCCTTTTCGGAAGCCGAACTGCATCTTCTTACATTTCGTCAGCTTGTTGAGAATGATCCTTTCCAAGAGTCTTCCAAGTGTATCCAGCAGGCATATAGGCCTATACGATGCGGGATCCCCCGGTGGTTTTGCTAGCTTTGGCAGCAGCACTAGCTTCTGAATCTTCCATCTGTCTGGGAAACGACTTTCATCCAGACATTTCTGCAGCACCATCCTGAATATGTTGGGGATTACAGCCGCACAGGGCGCTTTCTTCACCTTCAATCATTTCACCACTGCTACGAGTTCCTTATCAGAGACTTGTATACCTTCAGCCTTGTCTTCCTCTTCCACGCCGTACGATGTGAGCGGCCAGGTCGTTGGGTCGTGCTCCGGGAAAAGTCCGTCAATGATGACCTTCAGCTTGTATGGGCACATTTCAGCAGGCATCGTTGGCCCTTTGATCGTGACTTGGAATGCGTCACCCCAGGGCTTGGCAACCACGTCTCGGCACAGCTTCTCAAAACAGTTTGATTTGCTCAGCTTTAGCTCCCGTTTGAGTGTGGCTCTGGTCGCTCGGAACACTACCCTACTCTGTCTGCTTCAGTATTTGCTCTCTGAACGCGTCTTCTGGCTCTGAGGCAACTAGCACGAAGGGAGCTGAGTGTCTCGTTTCACCAGTAAGCTGGGCGCCGTCTGTTCTTTAGCTCCAGTTTCCTCGGCATGGTTGTGTTGCATTCCCCCACTACCGTTTGAGTCAACTCGTCCACGTTCAGGTCCGCGAGGCCGCTACACGGGAACAAATCCAATCTCCGAAATGAGATAAATGACTAATGATTTCATGAACATATGTAGCGTATTTTCATGTTATGAAAACACACCATGAATAATATTCATGATATCATGAGCTATTTTTGCGTAACGCAGCTAAGATTCCCGAAATCAATCATCCGAGTTGAGCTAAATTCATGAATTTAACTTTGAGCTTTTAAACCAAAAAATAAAATTAAGTTTGATCGACTGGATTCTAACCAAGAATCTTGCGATCATTAAACCCATACTTTGACCACTAAACCATCAGTACTTGTATAATATGGAAGGCAAAAGGCGTATAATAGATACCTATGTAGTGCGTTTTATGAACACGGTTTGCCAGGTACGTGTAACGGTTGTAGCGATCATGATTCCGCTGCATTATAAAATCATAAATTTCCATCACGAAATCATGAATCATTGTTGTTCGTCTTACACTTCCGATCGCGAAATTCTCGTCCGCGATTGTCGATATGGGTACACCTCACTTACTCTTCAGTTCATGACGTCGGTAATGGATTCCTGAATGTCTCTGCGGAAAGTGCTGATGGTGCCTTCATTGGACAGCCTAGCTTCCAGCTCTGCTAGAGCTTCCGGTAGGCTATACCCTTTTGCGTTGGTACATCTACTTCCCCACTCCACTGCTCAAACATTAAAGTCTCCTCCGACGACTACCTGGCATCGTCCGATCAGCTCATCGATTATTACATCCAACATCTGCAAGAACTGATCCATCGTCCATTTCGGGGGTGCGTAGTAACTACATAGAAAGAGTCCATTGATTTTGGTGATCACGAAACCTTCGTATGAGGCCGCCACCACTTGTTGAATGGCCACCATTCCTGTTCTATCCGCCACCCAGTTACCATTAACGACAGGGACTCGACGTGGCTCTGCAATTCCGTTGTCGACTGACACAACAGTTGCTGTGCAGTGTCGTATTGATTGACGTACTGTTGACCCGCCTTCACCTCTTTGTTCGCTTAGCATTTGAAGCCTCCCGTCATATGGTCGTTTCTGTCTTCTTGTTTGTAGAGCATGCACTTAGGCTGCTTAGGTCGCTTGCGATGTGATCCTTCCCCGAGCAGGAACTGATAGCTAACCCATAACAAATGAATATCTTAATGTGGTATGATAGGGGAATTTACGTATTCTCGGCAACCTAAGCAGCGACGTTCTTTCTATAGCCTTTTTCTCTAAGGAACGCACACATATGCAGTATTGGTTTGTTTACAATCTTTTGCTGCCAACTGCTCTAACAATTTCAGTCGAAAGAATTGTCAAAAACTGTTTTGAAACGCTTTTACAAAGCTCCAATCTTCTCTAGTCAGTGCGAGTATTGTCGGCAACCAGTTTTTCTTCGGCAACCGTTCCATTTGAACTGCATGTAAATCTGCGGTTCTATGATCGGCTACTCGAAATCAGCTACAATTTGTAGTGCGTGTGTTGCATTTCAAGAAAACCTTGCTAGATTGCTTTTTCTCAGTGGTAAAAATATAGTCAAATTGAAACTGAAAGCATAAAGAATCGTTTGCATGCATTCAGCGAAGTGTTTTCGTAAGAAAATCCAGTGAAAATAGTGTTTCAATTTGGGTTGCCGAAAATAGTCTGTCATGCCCAAGCCGTCATTTCCCCTACCAGATTTAAGTATGCTTGTGGTTTAAAACCTTGTTTTGATATTATTCAGTTATCGAAATATTTTGTAAAATATCAAATGAATACCAAAATAACAAAATGTGACCTTTCAGTTTATAGACAATAGCACTTGAAAGAGTTATTGAATTGGTATTAGAAGACCTTCAAAATAACAAATTACGGTATTCTGGCATCTAAAAAAAATGTCTGTTATCCGTTTGTTATTGTAATAACTAAATTATTTATTAGTTCGTTATTAGTAGAATATTTTTGAGGTAGTAATTTTGGTATTTTACCTCTTATGTCAGCCTCACTAATACCATAGGTTGCCAGTTATACTATTTTTATACCTGAATTTGGTATTAATAAGTTATTTTTCCTGCTCAGGTCTCCCTGCATTTTCTGCACAGATCAGATCTGTCAGGACCTTTGCAGTTCCCCGCCTGGTGACCGAAGTCCATGCATTTGAAGCATCTCTCCAGTTGCTTGGTAGCTCAAGGAGTGGATTTCAGCGAGTACACTGACCACCCAACTTTGATGTAAGTTGTATCGCAGTGTGCCATCAACGCTCTTCTTATGATGTTATCTCCTCCGATCTGTCTCCTGGGGTAGAGCACATTAAATTGCCTTCTCGCCAAGAAAATTTTCGACGAGTGGCTTGAAGGATAAGCTCTTGACCGTAGGATCTTTCTTCAGCTCCAAGAGCATCTCACCTATCTGGGTGCTCATGGTTTTCACCACCTAGTTCTTCACTTTCCGAAAGAGTCCTGCTTACATCAGTTCTTTCATGACCTCGACAATCAGAACATCACCCTTACGCTCCCGACGATGCTTGGGTTTCTCTGTCTGCTGCTCTTCTATTCTCTTCACTTCCTTCTGTTGCTACCGCTTCTCCTTCTGATTTTCGACAGTACACCAGCCAGTGCCTTCCCAAGTAACCAAAAGTTCTGATAAAAGGCTATTTGTGGCTTAATCAGCTTGGTTGGAGGCGGTCTATAGAATTCTAAGCAGCCTCATGTTTAAGTCGTTATAAGAACTTGAAAGTTCCGGTATCATAATTGAAGAGCATTCTAAGCAGCTTCTGGCGGAACTTGAACGGAACTTTATTTGAACTATATGAAACTTGAAAGTTCTGTCGGAACTTTATTTGAACTTTATGGAACTTGGAAGTTCTGTCAGGACTTTATTTGAACTTTACGGAACTTGGAAGTTCTGTCAGGACTTTATTTGAACTTTACGGAACTTGGAAGTAATTTTAACCGTTGAATGCGGAACTTTTGGTTACTTGGGTGCTCCTTGCTCCTTGTTGCCTAGCGGGGGTCCCTGTGTATTCACCAGCAGTGCTTTTGTGGCATTTCGTCTCTCATCCTAAGCGTATTGCGATTACATTCGGCAGCAGTCACGGCGGATTTGATACCCGTCACTAGATGCTTGATCCTAGTGCGGACGTTGTTCCTTTATGAACTTTTAGAATTCGTTGACCATCTTCCAGGCCTCCGTCATGTTGGTCATCCCAAGCTGCAATCCTTTTTGGGGTATGATACCGCTGGATTTTGGTGTGAATATCTGGCTCAGCACAAGACTCATTAGGGCTTGCTACTGCTGGATCTAACTGTGACCACCAAGTTCGACACTGGTGATCTCTGCAACTTCTCACTTTTTGCTAACACGTTCGCCCATCCATTTTGGAGTATGTTTGTATGTGTGTGATGTATGTATGTGTGCATATTACGGTGTTTCATTCTGGAAAAAGATTGATATTTTTGATAGGCCACTCCCATAGTTCAGTTCATAACACAAAAACAAACATCTGTGCAAAGAATCAGCTAAACTGGTCAACGTTAAAAGGCTGCGCCAACGATTTCAATTTTGTTCGGGATTTTCGTCAAATTAGTATGGGAGAAAATGATGACCCACTCAAATCATTATAACTTTTTTTTCCCAATGAACCGATTTGAATGTAGTTAAAATATGTTATACTTAAAACTGACTTGAAGGCTGCAAGTCGATTTGATGCTTCACAAAACAGAAATTGGCTTTCGGAACTCAGATTGCAGATAAACCTTGATTTGAGCATAAAATCAGGTATGTTAATAGGGCATATTTCATAGTATGCTTTGCCAGATTTTTTTTACCTCAATGTTTATAAACATATTGTGCTGTCATCCTACAGACTAAGTGTAAGACCAGCTATCCAGATTCCACAAATGGCTGTGATGAAGGCTGATGATGCCCTATCCCTATTTTCTAGAGCACAAATCTCGGACATTGTTGCAACAACGCTCATGAAATTGGAACTTCTGCACTGCAGCAAAGAGTTCAATTTTCATTGTGCGGAGATGAACCAGCCTACGGCTAAAAATCTCCTAAATAAAGAAAAAAAATATCATTGTTGTATGTTTTGTGAGAGTCGACATTTGTGCTCTTTAAATTTCGAGGCTACAATGCTCTCCCGCAGAAATATTGTTTCCACAGCAAAATCCTCTTCCCAGTGCTTCAAGATTAATTCTACAAACGTACGATTATATTAGAAGATTCAATTTCCGTGTTATTTGAAGCAAGCTCCATAGTTTCCTCTTGAACACAAGTAACCATATTGCTCTCCCTTACCCCACAACAGGTGACGACAATCAACGGTGCCATGGTCGTATTGGACAAGCAGGACATTGTCATCCCACAGGGAATTGCCCACGCTGTTGACCGAGTAATGTTCCCTCTGCCAGTCGGTGACATCCTGCAGACCTTGCAGTCAGACCGAGAACGACGGTTCACCCACTTCCTGCGGGCATTGTTCGCATCGGGAATGTCCGATACACTACAGAACAAAGGTAATGCACACATCGAATCAAGACAAACACAGAAATGCTTAAACCCTCTTTTCTCGCAACAGGTATCAAAACGTATACAGTATTCGCCCCAACCGATGCGGCCTTTGCGCACTACTCAACGGATGAGCTGAACAAACTAGTCACCGACAAGGACCAGGCGGAGGAACTGGTCAAGAAGCACGTCGTTCCAGGCACTTTGTTCACCGCCGGAATGCGATTCTACCAAGTTAAAGATGCCATGGCCGAAGGCAAGACGGTGACGTTACAGAAGAGTGGAGGTATGCTTTAAATCACAGTTACGATTTCATTCCCAAATCTACCATGTCAACATACTTTCAGGAAAAATCAAAATCAACGACGGATACCTACAGACGTCCAACATTCCTACGACAAACGGCGTGATACATGCGATTGACTCCTTGCTGTAGGACCAATGTCTTCTTGTCAAATTCGAAACTCATGTATCATTTTTAAAGAAGAAATGCCATCTCCACCAAGTTAGGATCGAAATGGATGGAGACCAACCAAACCACCTAATTTTCCGAATTAAGACGTGAAAATTACCAGTGAACTTAAATGTGAAAGAGAAGGAAATGTTATTTCAGAATCACACCACACACACACACACACACACACACACACAAACAATCATTCCATTTTGTTTCGAGCCACTATTTATTAAACGCGAATCAAATTCGAACTTCCCTTCCAGACAGCACAATACATAAGCAAGCATTCATGAAGAAATGGAAAGTACTAAAGGCATCTTACGTTGGTGCCTTCCTCTTTTAGTTGGACAGTAGTAGAAGTTATTATTTTAGGAACAAAAAACTACAAATTGTAACAGTTGTTGAATTTGTTAAACTTGTTGAAGCAATGTGTAGTACCGTTGGACACACCCGTACCCATAAGTGAGGATGTTAATTTATTGATAAGAATAGTTGTTAGCCGCTAAGCAAAATTGTTCTGGACAAACCTTGTAAATACCGTTCTCCAAATCTCTAGTTGTAATAAATACAAATTAAAATAAAATAAATACTTTTCAATTCGATGATGACCGTCACACAAAAATATTAAACCTCTTACGATATAGCACTAAATTCCATGGAAAATGATTGCAAATAACGGGGATAGAAAGCAGGGTTGTTTCCACTCACTTGCTATAAAAAATCGTTTTTTGAATTCGTTAGATAGGGTAATTTACGTATTCTCGTCAATCTAAGCAGCGTCTGCACTTCTACTAGCATTTTCTCAGCGTCACGCACATATATGATGTGTCTGTTTGTTTACATTCATCTGCTGCTTGCTTCTCTATCCATTCCAATCGACAGAATTTTTCAAAACGTTTTGAAAGCATTTTTACAACGCTCCAAACTTCTCAGGTGAGTGTGACTATTGTCGGCAGCCTCTTTTTCTTCGGCAACCTTCCCATTAGAACTGCGTGTTAACCAGCTGTTCTATTATCGGCAACTCGAAATCAACCCCATTTTGTAGTGCGTATGCTTTATTTGAAGAAAAATGTAGCATTACTGGATTGCTCGATCGTTCAAATATAATCAGATTGAAGCTGAAAGGCTAAACAATCGTTTGGACACATTCAGGGAAGTGCGTTGATGGGAAAACATAGTGAAATTAACGTTTAAATTTAGGTTGCCGAAAACAGTCAATGGGTGCCGAAGCCAACATTTACCCTATAATGTAATGATATGTTGTACTTGTACGTAACAAGAAGAGGGTGAAAAGTATGTGTTTGACTCATTTGTTTTTTTATTAATTACTTTATTTGTACAGGCTTCATCGAATAAACTTTTGCAGAGCCGAGTTATCATTTTCGTAATACATTATTGATGTCTTATATTTAAAGTTTAAGGAGCTAGACCGGATACTCGCGGTTGTCTCGAGGTTAGTGGAGATTTACAATTTTTTTTTTTTTTTTATGGGAAAAGGGAGAAGGAGGTTTGAAATGTGGTTTACGATACAAATATTTAATTAATCCTAAAACATGAACTTATTTCTATTCATCTTGAAAACAAACATAAAAAAACCCACACGTACAAAATACAAACTAAACGGAATCGAGCAATGTGATGGGACCCATGCAAAGGTGATGACAAAAGATCTTAAAGATAAAGCACTTGAAAGCTCCCGTATTTTCATGAGAAACGACTCTATTAGTGATCCATCTATCAAGAACGATCTTTCGGAATCAACTTGGCCAAACTTTGCAGCGAAAATTGACGGAGGGATTATGCTGTGAAGGGCTGACATCCTGTGTTATGAGCACGTAGTACAATGTCATAAAACGAGTTTGAGGGTTTAGCTCAAGAAGCTTCTCAAAGTTTGCAATCACCAGTGGGTTCATAACCTCACAACGGGTGCGGGCCTGAGGTGTGTTTGACTCATAAAACCTATCAATTTTGCTTTCAAGGCAATCAGCGATCTTATGAATAGTAAGCGTTCGCTCAGAGAGGGTGCTCACGAATCGTAAAATCGCTGATTGTGACGCACTGAAAGCAATATTGACTTTTTTTTTGTGTCAAACACATACTTCACGACCTCTTCGTGTAACTTTCAAGTACTAATCACCATTATAACATCTAATGAAGTAACCCTGGGTGTAAGTGACCCATTGTTCGGAAAATCGTTCTCAAATCTCATTCATTGAGTCCTCCTGAGGAAATAAACTCGCGTGCAAATTTGCCAAACGCCTAAAAATCAATCGATAGAATGAAGAAAGTCAACTTAAAAGTATTTAGTTCATCCGGAAATATCATCGGTGATTTAATCTCAAGCATGATTTTTGAGTTTTGGATATTACGCTAGTTTACAAATAATAGTAAAAAAAAAATAACTCCAATGTTTGACCTTTGATCCTTATGTAAAATCGTGCACTGAATCCAAAAATGTAGCCAAATCTCAAACATGATAGTTTTCTAAATACAGCTGAAAAAAACTATATGCCACTTTTTTTTTGGCATTTGATAGCTGAGTCTCGGATAATGCTTAGCTGAATCTCAGCAACCAAATGAAATGTTTGCTGAGATCTCAGTAAAACTTATTTTGCCGAGATTTGCACAGCCGAGCTCGGTAGAAAAAACTAAGTGTGTATGATCATGCTCAATCAACTGCTCAGCTGGCAACATTGGTGTTTCTGGGGCGTTGAATAGGACACAAAAATCATGGCTACTATGTCATACTGCAAAATACAGTGTTGCCTACAGAGCAGCTGCTTGATCATGTCATAAGTTTACCAATCTCATAAATAATTAATAACTTTTTCTTGTCTCGTTTTACAAAGAAACGATCTTGAGCAAAGTTGTAGCTGAGAAAATTATCTATAAGAATGGCTATCTGTTTCGCAGCTCAATATGGAAAAAGACTAGAAGGCAATGAACAAAAAGTTGAGATTTTCCATAGTAATTTACATGTAAACTTCAAATGGCTTGTGCGAGGTCTGTTTCTAACCAAACGAGTTGTAACTTTGGAAGGCTAACGTCGATTTGAAACCATTTAAGCACTGTGGAGCGAAAAAGTCAAATTTTGCATCAGTCTATTGACCATGCCCTGTTAATACAACATTGCTCATCTCCAAAGAGAGAGGTAAAACATACCCACCTACACTCAAAGATAAATTAAATCAAAAAAACTTAAAAAAGTATACAGTTTCCCGCTTCACCTTATTGAGTCCGAGCCATGATTACTTCGGCAGTAGTCATGCATGATTAAAATCGAAATAATCTTTCCAGTATTAATAATTATTCTTTTTCAATACTGATATATAATAAAAAAAGATTAAAATTCAATCAATTTTTTTTTAAATAGAATCAAAAATGATTAAAAAATATTCAAAAAAAGATAATTTACTATCTAATGGTTGATTAAACTGGGATTAATATCAGATGCTTATTTTTTAGAAAGAGAGGATTAATTTTTAATCATTCGATATGATTAAACTGAGTTTAAATACCAATTGCTTAAATTTCAAGCAAAATGGGAATAGTTCAATTTATCAGTGTATCAGAAAGCGACCTTGCTCTTGGAGTGACAGATACGGACGAAGATAAACGAGGGGCAGCGTTGCCAGATATACCGATTTATCGGTATTTATACCGATTTCCGAACTAGATACCGATACACAGATAAATTTCCAAAGAATACCGATTTTTGAGATTTTATACCGATTTATACCGATTTTTTTTTCTTAAAGGGTGTCCACGATGAAATTGCCACACTATGAAATTGCTCTAACTTTTTAACCGTTGGGTAGAATTTAATGAAAATTTGGGTGGATTTAGTTCATAGTGCATTATTTACATCCTGCAAGTTTTAAAGTCCTGTGATCAAAACTCGCGGAAATGGAGTCGAAAGAACAGCTCGTGCGTGATAAAATCTTGCGCATTCATCACGAGAACAAGGATCTCTCGCATCGTTCCATCGCTAAAACGTTGGGAATCGCGAATTCCACGGTGTCGCGAGTGATTAAGCGGTTCGAGGAACGGTTGACCACCGATCGGAAGCCCAGAAGTGAAGGAAAAAGTATTCCGTACAACACCAAAAATCACAACCGCGTAGTTGGGGCCTTCAACCGAAATCCGAACGCCTCCGTTAGGGATGTGGCTAAGAAGCTGCACCTAAGCTGAAGTTTTGTCCAGAAGGCCAAAACTAAGGCTGGGCTTCGAACGTTCAAGGTACAAAAGGCCCCTAATCGCGACGAGAAGCAGAACAAGTCCGCCAAAACCCGTGCCAGGAAGTTGTACCTCAACATGCTGACGAAAGTTGAATGCTGCATCATGGACGACAAAACATATGTGAAGGCCGACTTCAAACAGATCCCCGGCAACCTGTTTTTCACGGCCAAGGATAAGTTCAGCGTTCCGGAGCGTGTCCGCACTCAGAAGATGTCCAAATTTGCGAAGAAATTCCTGGTTTGGCAAGCCATCTGCACGTGCGGGAAGCGGAGTGCACCTTTCGTGACCCAGGACACGATGAACGGACAGGTGTACATAAAAGAGTGCCTCCAGAAGCGGCTGCTTCCTCTCCTGAAGGCCCACAACGTCCCAACAATCTTCTGGCCGGATTTGGCCTCATGCCACTACTCCAAGGACGTGCTGAAGTGGTATGCGGACAATAAGGTCAATTTCGTGCCGAAAATGTTCAACCCTCCCAACACTCCGGAGCTCCGCCCCATCGAGAAGTACTGGGCGATTATGAAGCAGCACCTTCTTAAACGACCTAAGGTAGTGAAGACAGTCGAGGAACTGAAGAAAGTATGGGTTTACATGCAAAAAACGGTTGATTCACAGGTTGTGCAGAATCTTATGGCCGGGGTTAAGGCCAAGGTGCGGGCATTTGCGTATGGACTGTAAATAAAATACGAGTAAAATGGTAAAATGAAGTTTAATAGTTATTTCTCAATCCCTGAAAATTTGATGGCAATCGGATGAAAACTCGAATTTTGCGAATCAATTTTGTGTGTGGCAATTTCATCGTGGACACCCTGTAATCAAAATTATTATTGCCTGCCCGCGCTCGAATTTCAGAGGAATTTTTTGTAAGAGACTTGTATTTTTTTG